AGCGTCTGCTGAAACGACAACAAGACTGGACGCCTGTTCTAGAGACACCCAGGCCTGTAGGAACGAGGGGTCGCTCCAAGGGCTGAGGGCGCGGCGACACAGCGCAGTAACAGAGACTCGGTGTGCGCGCGCGTTCCATGCGCGTCTGGGGACTCGATCGTGAAGCCAGTGCTGAAGTGGTCTCATATAGAATAATCCGAGCGGCATGAAGCGGCTGCGGATGCCATATGCCCCAGGAGCCTCTGAAATAGTTTCAGTGGGACCACTATTTTACTGTCGAGCTCTCTCAGACAGTACAGCATCAGCTGAGCGCGCTCTCCGGAGAGGCGCGCTGCCATGGTGACCGAGTCCAGCTCCAGCCCGAGAGAAGAGATCCTCTGCACGGGGGCGAGTTTGCTCTTTTCTCGGTTGACCTGAAACCCCCACAGGTGGAAGTGCCAGAGCACTTTGTCTCTGTGCATAATCAACTCTGTGCATAATCAAAGAGAGGGCAAAATTCAGCCAGTCGTAAAGAAATTGAGTATGCAGATGCCCGCGAGCCGAAGGGGCGCTGAGGCACCCTCCGCGGGCTTGGTGAGGACCCGCGGAGACAGAGAGAGCCCGAAGGGGAGGGCTTTGTATTGCCAAGCTCGACCTTCAAACGCAAACCGCAGAAACTGTCGGTGGCGAGGAAGAGTGGAGACATGGAAATACGCGTCCATCAGGTCTAATGCTGCAGACCAACCCAGAGGACGAACGCACCGGAGGATGCGCTTCTGCGTGAGCATTCTGAACGGCAGCTTGTGCAGGCAGCGGTTCAAAACGCGCAGATCTAGGATTGGCCGTGACCCACCGCTCTTTTTGGGCACGATGAAGCGTGGGCTGTAAAACCCGCTCTCCATCTCGGCTGGAGGGAGCGGCTCGATTGCATCCTTCGCCAGGAGGACAGCAATCTCCTCTCGCAAGACAGGGGCGGACAGAGGGCTGACCCTGGTGAATACACACCCGTGACTTGGGGGGCCGTTTCGCGAACTGAATCGCATAGCCGAGTCTGATTGTGCGTATGAGCCACCGCGAAGAGCTGGCCTGCGCTAACCAGGCAGGCAGAGCTCTCGCTAATGGACTCATCGCTACAATCGCTGACGTACCAGCAGTGGGGCAGCGCGGAGTGGGTGTGCTGATCCGGGAAGCTCGCGGGTACCACGGAAAAGCTGGAGGTGAGATATTTGCTCTCACTCCAAACCCGAGCTCCGGAGGGGAGGCTCGAAGGGTGGGAGAAAGGAGACCGTCCTCCCAGCGCTCGTGAGCCACTGGCGAAACGCACCGAATCTGCAAGCTAGAAAGCATAGCGTCCCAGACTGGCAGATTTCGGGCTGTCACATCTGGGGAAGTGAAAAGTGCCCTTTCATAATGTTTTCATGGCAGTAAAAAGTGCCGTTGGAAATGTGGCCCCGCCCTCCAGCGGGGAAAGAGCAAGTTCCCTCTTCTCCAGATGGCCTGTCCCAGGGGCGCTTCGCGGTCCGTTGCCGGACTTAGCGGCGTTCTGGGCAGGGGGTTGCCTGCTTCCGAGGTGCCCGACGCGCTCGCTTCGCCGGAGGCGTGTGCGGGGGCGGAGCAGCTCTCGTAGGCGGGCGCCTTCGGCGAGGAGCAGGTATGAATGGCACGGCAGGCGGAGCGGGCTACGGACTGCCGATAAGACATCACCCACCAACTGCTCTCTCACCGCCTTGAATTCCTGGGTGAATTCACAGACAGTGTCGCCGAACCTGGCTGGGGATATGGGGAAGTCAAGAAAGCGGACTTTGTCGACTTTGCGCATATCAGCCAGGGGTGGCGCTCCTGGACCACTAATGTGGACATCGTCCTCCCCAACGCACACGCAGCGGACTCAGTAGTCCGAAGAGCTAAGTCGGCGGCGGTGCGAAGCTCGTAAGCCTGGGTTGGACCCACCCTCGTGCAGCTCGGCCAGCGCCTGCGCTTGGTAGCGCTGGTAGGTGGCTATCGCATGCAAGGCGGAAGCAGCCTGGCCCGCAGCTATGTAAGCTCTTGCTCCGAGGGAGGTAGATAACTTACAGGCTTTGGATGGGAGACGAGGCGGACCCCGCCAAGAAGAGGCGCCGCGCGGATTTACCGCCATCGCGCACTCAACCTGAGGAATCGCCACATACCCCCTGGCTGTTTCACCGTCAAGAGTGGTTAGGGTGGAGGAACACGCAGCACGAGCAGAAAAAAGTGCTTTACAAGACCGCGTGAGCCTACTGTGCACCTCCGGGAAGAAGGGAACGCCCCTCTAGTCGGTCCGGCCGCGGAGCTGGGGGATAAACCATCTCCAACCCACGGCCGAAGCAGCCCGGGAAAGCACGGCTAACATGTCCGTTTCAGGATCCGTAGTGACAGCACTCACCAGCCCGAAGGGGGCGAGCGGGTCTGGATCATCATCGGACAATGAAAGCCCACCCTCCGATGCCGCGGTGGACATCTGGTCTCCGGTGTCATCGGGCGTAAGGGCTACCATTTGTTAGACGGATCGCTTCCCCCGCCCGAAGCTTGGATGGAGCGCTTAGAGGAGCGGGAGGTCCGCGGGCCCGTGGGCGACGGATTATCTCTCGCTGAAACCCTCAGATCTGCCCGAGTGCCCGCTGCAGAGCAGGGGACAACTGGGGTGGTTCGCCCTTTTGCAAAGGCTAACCGCAATCTTGCGCAACAGTCATGGCATCGCAATGACGACATGAACTGCCCGCGAGCAGCGCATTAACATGCTGGACCCCCAGACATGCAACGCAGTGCCCGCGCCCATCATCCGAGGACAGGAAACCACCGCATCCAGAAACGCACAGTCGGAGCGCCGTCCTGATAAGGACGTGCTGCACGACTGTGTTGCTCTTTCTGTGAAGTTTGCAACTTTATACGCACCGCTCTGGAGGACCCGACCCAAAGAACGCCAGGCAAGGGAGAAACCCAGCTCGACCGTCTACCACTGCGTGTACACACTCTGGACCGGGAGAATGCTCTCGTTCGCTCAGAATCGCTGGTCACAGCAGGAGGAACCCTCATCGACTCGATCAGAAAGTCTCTGAAGCGAAAAGGATAGCGTCTGCTGGCGCCAGGTGAGCTTATATACTCAGTTGATTGCTTATGCCGCTCACCTGCGCAGGCTTGCGCTGCCAATTCATTCTTAATTGGCCCGTTCAATACTCTTCAGACGAGTAGCTTCTGAACCGAACCTCCCAATGCGTGGATTTTACAATCAAATCCACTTATAGTGCTGAAGTTCCCCCCGAAGGGGAACTACAAATGACAAATGTAGCAGGGCTTAAATGACTTTATTTCTTTGCATTTTAACTTTGTAAACTATAAAATCATGCGTCTTCTCACGGTTTGCGTCTCATTTTGTGAGCTGACTGACAACAGTTGTTCACTCCCCTCCTTTTCCCCTGCTGGCCACGCCCACTTCTGCCATTCGCTCGCAGAGCTTCACGCCCATTATGATGCATTTTTTGAAAAACGCTTTGAGGTAGACCTGAACCGAAAGTGGGGGGTTTCATGGCCCTTTAACCCCTACAGTATACCCCAGTATACTTAAAGTGAAATGGAAGAACACAAGTTTTTGTTTTCATTTGAGAGTAAAAAGAAATTCTTAGAAGGCTGAGGGACGGTATACTGTTTTTAAACATTTAGACACCACAGCCCTACAAGGGGGTTAACTGGGTTTTGGTGGGATTTTGTTCGAAATGACCTCATTTCAGTTATTTTTTGGATTTCGTTTAAAGCCTTTGGGATCTATTTTGACAGTCCATGTGCAAAGCGCAAAACGCAGGGCGCAAACGCTTTCAGGGCGTGTCAGGATGCGTTTTTGCTAATTTAAGGACGGGAAATCTGCCTTGCGCTGCGGCGCATGTTCTAAAAGGGTTGAGTTTATTTTCTTAATGAGTTATAGGTGTGTTTTGAGAATAAACCAATTAGAATCTTATCTCCCATTCCCTTTAAGAGTCAGCTGCAACGCGCCAAGAGCGCATTCGCTATTTACAGGACGCAAAGTAAGTCTTAACATTTCACAAGCAAACAGTTAACAGTTTTAACAGAAAACTGTTAAACAGAGCATCTACTGCGTGAGAATGAGAGATAATGGAACTACTTTCACATTCGCTCTTGGATAGGGAAACCTTTACGCACAGACATCAATTAGTCTATAAATAAATACTTTTGTTTGTTAAATGCAAATATTCGTTTCAAAACTATTTCTAAATTCAGTTCTAATTTCCAGCAAACAAATAAATGAATAATAATAGCAAAATGTGCTCAAAGACCTGAGTTATATCCTAAAACACATGCTGTGCTCCATATGGTCTAAAACCTGACAGGTGGGCAAATCTAAGCTTGTTTTTAATAAAACAAATATAAATATGGATATATTAAATAATACTGCTAATAATAATAACATTATACAAAAGCAAATTGTTATGAATGAACTGAAAAAGCCTCCCGAGATGAAGAAGACATAAAAGCAGTGATTTTTCATATTTATGTAGGCTAGAAAATAATATGTTTTGTAATGTTTTAATCCTTTATATTTATATTCTTTATCTATTCTTATTATATTCTATATATATCCTTAATATTTACATTTTTACATATGTAAAGATATTTGCCTATTGCTCTCTTGTGCATATTAAGCAGTGCGTAAGCTAGGCACAACTCTGCGCCGGAGTTTAGACCGGGTTAGTTTTGGTCTAATGAAAAAACTATTATAGATTCTCAAAATAGCAACGCGCCAGCGGTCCGCCTCAGAACGCCTTTCTTTTTAGACCAAAACGCCTATGGGCGCACAAATGAGCGCTAATGCATTTGCTATTTAAACAGCGTATCGCAACGCCCCAAAACGACTCTTGCGCCAAGCTGAAACTACCAAAAGACTACTGCGCCACGCCTTGCGCCACACTGCGCCGGGTGTATGATAGGGCCCTTAATGTCAAGTGGGCCTCTGTTTTCTTTTTAATTTCTTTTTAACTTTTTTTTTTTAGCTGGAACATTACGAAAGCGCCATTGGCTTTAAACTGCCCAACTACAAGGCTGCCAAGAAACTGTGGAAAGTCTGCGTGGAGCATCACACTTTCTTCAGGTATGAATTTTGAGCAATGCATCATAACACATATACTCAAAAAAAATTCTGCAAAATTGTTGCAAGCAATTTATATGGGTTAAATTAAAGCAAACAAATGAAATGTAGTAATCTTCAACTTAACTTGCTTGTTTAAATTCAGCCCAAATAAATTGTTTACAACCACTTAATGTAAAAAATTGTAAATGCAAGGAATCATCTTTACATTTTTTTTTCACTGAGATAGCTGTGTCCTAGTGACTTTTTGTTTTTGACATTTTATTTGAGTCCATGTACTTTCTCAAAATGTTTTTTTTTTGGGTCTTAGGTTGACATCTACAGAAGCAGCCACTACCCCCAGGAAGTTCCTGGCTTTGGGATCAAAGTTCCGCTACAGCGGCCGCACTCAAGCCCAGACCCGTCAGGCCAGCTCTATGATCGACAGACCTGCTCCTCATTTCCAGCGCTCCACCAGTAAGAGGGCGTCCCGCAGCTTAGACGGAGGTGTGTTCACATCTGTCAAACTCCTTTAATCCTTCTGTATCTATATGTGTATTAGTTCTAAACGACTACAGATTGCAGTTTGATTTACAATATTAATTAGTGAATCGTACCAAGATGTACTAAAGTTCATATGAATTAGATAGTAAATCAAAAAGGTAAGAATTTTTGGTGAGAATGTGTTGGTTAATCAGGTGACAAATATTTACTATATGGCATTTTTACTTGGCTCTTAACCAATAATGCGCTGAAGCTACTTTAAGACGTCTCACTCATTTCCATGTTACAAACTGAAAAGTAAAAAAAACAAAACAAATCCAATCAAAAATAAATGAATACTGAAATAAATCGTTTAAATGCAAAATAAATGAAATATAAAAATAAATTAACACACAAATAAAAAAATAAATTAATATATAAATAAAGACTTCTTTAAATAAATAAATAATAGACATCCCTCATTTCCATGATTGTTACAGAGTGAAAAGTCAAAAAGAATAAATAAATATGGAAATAAATAAATTAATGCAATAATAAAAAAAATATTAATTTATTATTATAAAACAAAATTAATATCAAAAAATGATATAATAAAATATAATATTATAAAATGTATTATTTTATTATTTTAAAATAATTAAAATAATAAGTGAAGTTTCACAAGCTAATTTTTAAAAGATCACGTGATTTGATTTACCGCAGCATTAGCTAGCCAATCGGATTATTCCAAATTTAACATTAATATCCAGCTTAACTTTATTCCCTATCTTCGTTTTGGTAGAACCCTTCATCCATTATTTCTCCTCAATTCCAGGATTGGGCAACATGTCAGCTCAGTGGCTAGCACTGCTTCCGCACAGCAAGAATGTCGCTGGTGTCTAGCTGAGCCAGTTGGCACTTTCTGTGCAGAGTTTACATGTTCTCTCTGTGTTTGCGTGGGTTTTCTCCAGGTACTGTGGTTTCCTCTTACAGTCCAAAGACATGACACAAGTGAATTAAATAACAGTAACAGTCACAAGCACTTAATGCATACACACTTGTGTGGTTGGCGGTCTATTCCCATAGCTGTTTTATTAATCAAGGTATAGGCTAAATGTATCGGGGAAGCTCTCGAGAACTACCTGATCCTGTATCCCTGCTAATGGTCATTGACCAAGCGGAAGCCCTGGGCTCATCTACTGTATCTCTGACCTCAGGGTTCTCTCCCGGGACAGCATGCCAAACCTGCTAAGATAGTCAAGCATTATCTATGTGGAAACTCTTGAAATATAAATAAAAATGCATGCAGAAAATAATAAAGAAAAGAAAAGAAATCAATTTAGAATTAAATAATAATACTATTACATTTCATTAAAATGTTAAGTGATATTCTGCTATAAAGTATATATTGATTAATTCAATTGGTTTTAACTCACAATGCTTGTACTTCCTGTACCCACCCTCCCAATTCTCATAAACACTGTTTGCTCTAGATCAAATTTTGCGGTTCATGGCTAATAATGCTTCAACAAAGAATGTTCTCAGCCTCCTATGGGAAAAACTAATAGAGAAAAATCCTTATAGTGGGTGGCCACTAATGCACTTTATAGGTATGGATGGTTAGTCTGAACATGGATCCAGACGATTGGCCCACTTAGTTGGATTTTGGCCAATCACTGCCAGTCACCTCGGGAATTTGATATCTAACACACTCTGTTGCTCTGCTTGGGATCTCATTTGCTCCTTCAATCTCCGTTTTTCGGCCTCTCTCCAGTTCTCTAATGTGCTTCCCTTGGGGAGGTTCAGACACTTTATGTAAGTTGTTCTGCAAGCATCTGTTTTTATTCGAGCTGTGAGCAGAAGTCATTTGTCTTTGCTGAAGGATAGATAAAGTCAACCTTCAGACTGCTCTCTCTGTGCACAGAAACTCAATAACAACCTTATGTTTGACTGCTTTCTTAATCCTGGAGTGTTTTGAGACCTGCTGGCCAGAAATGTTGAGGATTGCAGATCTGAAATATGTCTGTATGACTCTGTGTGTCAGGTATTTTACACTCAAACTACCTAATATGTTGCCTCCATTTAGAAACCAACATGTCATATTATTTAATGGAACAACACAATCCCAGAATGCAAAGTAAACTTTTCGATACTTTTAAAAGAGTTCTTACAAATACTTTAAAAAGAATATTTAAGTGTGAACTGAAAATAATGCTTTCATACAAATCTTTATTTTGTTTTCAATGCAGTTGACTTAAAGGGGTGGTTCACTACGATATCAAATTTTAAACTTTAGTTTTTGTGTAATGTAGCTGTGTGAACATAAACATCATGAAATATGTTCAAATGCAAAGCAAGACATTGTCTTTTACAGAGTTAGCTTACAGCGAACGGCGTTTGGGGCCTACCAAAAAATACATCCAGGCTAGAGAGATCACAGACACTTCAGGTTACATGCCTTCACCATGCGCCTACACCCCGAGCAGCAAAGGGGCGTGGCCAGAGGCGCTGTAATGTTATAGCAGAGAAAGCTAAAATGCCGTCCAAACTCTGCTATTTTCACAGAGCTTCTTCTGTTTCTGTATTTGCGCTTAAAATGGACACGGCACAAAGAGAGAAGTGCTTACAGTTTAAATTTAATTATGTTCCAGAGAATTAAATAAAATATAGCTGGTATTTGACAAAGGAGATCTTCCAGAATCTCTCCCAGTTCAGTGCTGGATTCGGCTAAAAACTCCTCAAAAGAAGAAGCAGCTTTAACTATAATAGAAGAAGCCGTGGATTGTGAGCCACAACTTGTAGGTAATTTTATTTGTTAAAATATATCAACTACATGCATTGTTAAACAAAGGGAAATGCTGTTTGGCACCGCTAACAATTTAGCTACAAATTCAGAGAAATTCATGGTGTGAAGATACAAGATGTGCAGCACCTGAAACTATGTATACTGGAAGCCTGTGCTGGCATTTCTCATGCGGTGTTGCTATCAATGTGTGAAGAGTGGGAGAAGAGGGTTGCATTGACAATCCAACACAATAGACAGCACATTGAACACATTTTATAAGTGGTCAGAAACTTGTAAATAACTCATGAAAGAAGAACACACCATTGTTTTTCTTGTGAAATTCCCAACAAGTTTGATGTGTCAAATGACCCTCTTCCTATTGAAAAAGCAAAAGTTGGATCCAAGATGGCCGAATTCAAAATGGCCAGCATGGTCCCCACCCATCTTGAAAAGTTTGCCCCTCACATATACTAATGTGCCACAAACAGGACGTTAATCCCGGTAATCCCATTTTATTAAGATTTATCCATATTAATGGCCCACCCTGTTGTTTTACCTGATATTTATTCATTTTTATTTTAGAAAAGTCAATTCAACAACATTTAAAATCTGGTTTCTATAATCAATAAGGATTTCTCAATGGAGAGTTGCTTCCATTGCAGGTTGTATTTTGATTAGGAAAGCTGCCTGTATAGACAGTGACAGTTCATAGAGTTTGGAACAGAGTCACAGTGTCTCTGAGGTAAAGAGGAGGTGATATCTCGTGGTATAAATAAACTGTGGATGCTTCAGGCGATGCAGTTGAACTCACTGCGGGGGAAAACTCACAGCAGGGGTGTGATCCGGAAAAGCAGCATTGGTTAATCCACGGCTAATTTAACCAGTCAGCCTTCAGGTATAACAGACTCAGATTTAATTACTCTCCGCATTCATCAGAGATGCACATTCGGTTATTTGCATTGACATGAAATAGTCAGATTTGCTTGTCAGTGCAACATTTAGTGCTAAATCCAATTCTGTGCACACTAGGGTAAAGTGGTACAGATTGCTCACAGTTCGGTTTTTGGTTTTAGTGAACTGTATAATGTAATCAAATAGAATAAGACTGCATAGTGTACATATAATCTTCACTGTGTATATTAAAAAAAGTTGAAACATTATTGAGCTACAGGGGTTGAACAATGAAATTGAAACACTGGCCAGTTTAGTGTTGGAGGTTTTATGGCTAAATTTAACCAGCCTAGTGACCAACCTTCATTGATTGCACATTCCACCAGTAAGAGCAGAGTGTGAAGGATTAATTATCAGAGAAATTGCACAGTTTTGCTTAAAATATTGCAATGCACACAACATTTTGCCTGACAAATCAGAGTTCAAAAGAGGACAAATTGTTGGTGCACGTCTCTCTGGTGCATCTGTGACCAAGGCAGCAAGTCTTTGTGATGTATCAAGAGCCACAATATCCAGGGTAATGTCAGCATACCACCAAGAAGAACTGTACCACCAGACTGTTGCATGTCTAGAGTGAAGCATCAGGTGAATCACTGATAGTTTGGGTTGCAATATTATGGCATTCTCTAGACTCTCTGAATTCTCTATTCTGGAGGACCATGTGCACCCAATAGTTCAAACAGTGCAGGCAAAAATTCAAACAGTGTACACTGAAGTCAGTGCCATGTATCAGGATGATGCACCAAAACACACAGCATAACTCATCACATAAACTCATTATATCTAAATATTGTGAAAATACTGTAATCACTGGAGCCCAACGATATTCAATAAACATTGCTTATAATAACAGGGCTTGGAAACATAACAGCTCTTCATATATAAAGTGTGAAGTTTATTTCTAAACTAATTTCAAGAGGATCAGATGCTTATGATTGACCACAGCTGGTCCCACATTAGATATCTCATCTTTGTCTTGAAAAATCCCCATCCACCCTGACTCCTCCTTTTTTTTCCCTGGCATAATTTAGCAGCACGACAACTCAGTGACTAGCACTGTTGCCTTACAACAAGAAAGTCGCTGGTTTGAGTTACGCCTGGGCCTTCCTGAGTGGAGTTTACATGTTCTCCCCTTGTTTGCGTGGGTTTTTTCTAGGTACTCTAGTTTTCCGCACAGTCCAAAGACATGCAGTATAAGTGAATTGAATAAACAAATTGGTCGTAGTAAATTAGTGCGCGAGTGTACAGATTTACAGTATTGGGTTACGAATGGAAGGACATCCGCTGCATAAAACATTTGCTGGAATAGTTGATGGTTCATTCTGCTGCTGCATTCTCTGTAAATCAAAGGAATAAACCTAAAAAAGATTAATGAACAGAACAGCAAGCCAAACACGCTTTATTTATCAATTAGCTAAGTGTGAACTCAGCAAATATGACAACAAATATAACAATTGGCATGGCTACATCCTGGGACAGCTTGCTAAACACGCTTTATTTGTCAATCTTTAGCAACATACATGCTTTATTTTTAAATCATTAGCAGCATCCCGGGACAGCATGCCAAACACACTTGATTTGTCAATCATTAGCCAGGTCTGAACTTTTAAAACAACAAATATAACCATTGTCATGCCAAATTGCTAGTGTAAACGGAAGCTTGCAGTTCTTCTGATTGGCCCCCTGCTTTGGAACTGTCATTGATGATCAGCGCAGCATCTAAAAGTTGACATTCTTCTACCTTGATATGGTAAGGGTTCTAATATATATAAAGTAGAATGTTCATTTAGAAGTAGTTATTAGTTTTTCTTTTGCAAAAATTAATACGTATTTGATTTTAAATGAGATTCTTGAAAGTGGCTATGAATGCTTCATTCTCTTCAAGCAGCTCTTGTGCAGCATCTGTGGACTGGTGTTTATCATAAGATAGATCTTTGTGATGGTTTTATTTAATTGGTGAAGTCTTTAATGTGATCTTGCGACTTTATTCTATTTAATGCTACATCTAGGGATGTTATTAAAAAATGTTAGAAAGCAAAATCATTAAACATGTTAAACAGAACAGTGTATTAGGAGTTTTTACTTATTGTTTATACTTATTTTTGCACTGTATGAAAATTGAGCTAGCTTTTGCAATATTGGATTGAAAGATCAGAGAAAGTCAGCATCACCTCCCTCATCAGAGAAGTATTGTAATGTTATTTAAATGCCAGCTGTGAAAGGTAATGTGTCTCTGTTGTCTACTTGTAATTGAATTGACGAAAATGGAACTAAGTGTGAACAGGACCATGTCTTCTAAACTTTTCAGAAAAAACAACAACCCTTTCTGAATTGCATGCAACATAAAGGTGAAACAGATTGCTCTGGTTTTTAATAGTTTGATCGACAAGTTGCATCCTTAGACTTTTAAATTAAAGGGTTAGTTCGCCCCAAAATGTCAATTCTATCATCATTCACTCACCTTTCACTTGTTTAAAACTTATTTGAGTTTCTTTCTGCTGTTGTTGTACACAAAAGAAGATGCTTTATAAAATGCTAGCTTATACCACTTGGCTTCCAATTTGATTTGTGCCAGCAACCAGCATTCTTTAAAATATCTTCAAAATATATGTGTTAAGCAGAAGAAAGAAACTCACAAAGGTTTAAAACCACATAAGGGGAAGTAAATGATGAGTTCATTTTCAGTTGAACCTTTCCTTTTAGTTATGTTTAGTATTGTTCAATCACAAATCCCAGCATGCACCTTTGAAGTCATTGAAGTCCATGCAGAATGATATCCTGCAGCAGTTGTTTTTGTGTTTTGCTGGAGTTATCTGATTGGAAAGTTACACTTACTTTAGAGTATCTCTGATAGTCTGACAGCAGCTTGATCAATTCAAGAGGGGTAAAAGTCCTTCAGGGCTAAAGTGAAGAAGAAAAAAAGTATTTATGAAAGGAAACTTTTCAGAGTGATTTGTTTGTGCCCCTGGGTGCACTCTTTTAGAAACCATTCAGTTCTGAGGAGATTTGTGCCCTCAGCTTTCTTAAACAACTTATTCTTACAAAATAATAATAAAAATGCATCACGTAAAGGCAGTTTTATGTTAGTGATAACTTCTTCCTTGTGAAAATAAGGGTGCTTAATTTTGTTAAAAAAGTGCAATTAGGCAAGGGCCTGTATAATATTTTGATATTATGATAACCCTGGATAAAAATATCATAGTTTCACAGTATTACGGTATGGTGATTACCACTCTGAAATAAGTCTTAATAATAAATATTAATTTTCTCCCATTGAAGACAATACAGAATCAGAAAGAGCTTTATTGCCAGGTAGGTTCATGCGTACAAGGAATTTGTTTTCGTGACAGAGCTTCTACAATGCAACAGAATTACAGAGGAAGGACAAAAGAAAGATAATAAATATATTTTAAAAATAGGTAGTGAATGGAAATATACAAATTGACTGGTGTATGTACAGGTATATTACTACTGTATATGCAATGTTGTATGTGCAGCTGTTATGTGCAAATTGGCATGTGAAGTATGGTAAATAAGTGTAAATGTTTGTTACTATCCTAATTACTATCATCAAGTGTTCATGAGGGCGAAGCAGTGGCGCAGTAGGTAGTGCTGTCGCCTCACAACAAGAAGGTCGCTGGTTCGAGCCTCGGCTCAGTTGGCGTTTCTGTGTGGAGTTTGCATGTTCTCCCTGCATTCGCGTGGGTTTCCTCCACAGACTAAGCCAACAAGAAAATTAATTATATTATATTATATTATATTATGTTATATTATATTATATTATATTATATTATATTATATTATATTATATTATATTATATTATATTATATTATATTATATTATATTATATTATATTAAATTGTATTATATTATATTATATTATATTAAATTGTATTATATTATATTATATTATATTGTATTATATTATATTATATTGTATTATATTATATTATATCATATTATATTGTATTATATTGTATTATATTATATTATATTATATTATATTATATCGTATTATATTATATTAAATTGTATTATATTATATTATATTGTATTATATTATATTATATTATATTAAATTGTATTATATTATATTATATTATATTATATTATATTATCGTATATTATATTGTATTATATTATATTATATTATATTGTATTATATTATATTATATTATATTATATTATATTATATTATATTAAATTGTATTATATTATATTATATTATATTATATTATATTATATTATATTATATTATATTATATTGTATTATATTATATTATATTATATTATATTGTATTATATTATATTATATTATATTATATTATATTATATTATATTATATTATATTATATTATATTATATTATATGCAAGTTTCAATAGAAAACCATTAAATTAATTCTAGATTACTGTAAATAGTTTATGGATTTAACCTCACTGTGTAGATAGATCTATACAGTTTATAGTTTAAAATATATTTTATAATAAATGATTTATAACAAATTAATATTAATTACTTTATTTGTTGACATGAAACTGGTTAGTTTCAGAATTCTAAAAATGCACATACTGTATATTTTAATACATACATGTATTAAAATACATGGCATAACTTACATTACAGTGTAGGGCTGCACAATATATCGTTTGAGCATCGGTATTGCAATGTGTGTGTCCACAATATCACATCGCAAGATATGCTATGTTGAGTTGGGATTATAGATGACCAGAAACCACAGGTCAAAACACACAAGATTTGTGGAGACACTCTAGAACTGAACCATAATAGAGTGAAAGTTTATCATCTGCATGTGTTTTTAAGGCCTGTGACTGTGTGAGCATTTGAAGAGAGTTAAAACATTTTAGTACTGCACAAACAAGTTTAATAAGATTTTTTTATTATTATATGGTGAAGACTATGCAGTGCTATTTTCACATTTGATTAGTCAACTACTGTGCCTGAATAATGTTGCTCTCTCCAGAAAACCATAAAGCACGGTTAATTCACTTTAAAATTTGCTCTATTGTGTTTATTTATGTAGTTTGTTTATTATGTATAAATATAATAAATTATATAGAAGTATATCTATATTTCACTCCCCTACACAACCATACCAGGTAATGACTTTGCAATCTTTTTCTCTGCGATATGTATTGTGATATAAATTCACCAGATGACGTAAATAGCTCTATTTGCAATGTAACAATTTTTTTCCAATGTCGTGCAGCCATCTTACAGTGCATTTTAATTTACCATAAGTTTGTTATGACTTAAGGGTAACACTTTCTTTATCTCTCTCTGACAGCCATGGTCTCGACCCCAGATAAGAACGCCCGTCCTGTCAGCGCTCCCATCATGTCTCCCATCTCCCCAGGTGATGTGGCTCCTTCCCCAGTAGCATCTGGCACCCGCAGTGACCGCAAAGAGACGTCCACGCCAACGGGCCGCCTGCGCTCCACTGACAGGAAGAGTGAGGTGAGGGCAGAGGCCCATGTGACAGATGGCTCCAAAACACTCAGCACCAAAGCTGAGGGCACACATGAAATCAAGGTATGACACACATATGAATACTGTATCTACGAACACTTATGAATATGAAAAAAAAAAAAATTCTATTAATCTTGAATTTAAAACTTTTTTGGGAAAATAATGTCATGTTTTGGAAAAAAAAACTGCCTGGTTCCTTATTTGATGTTAGCACAGCTAAAAGCCCCAAAAACACAAGTCAAGTGCAAATGATCCTTGTTTCTACCTTAAAACTACACATTTGAAGACTTCAAGGGGCCATATGCAGAATTTAGAACCCCCTAGTGATTAATGGCACTGGTGGCTATTACACGTAAGTGAATTACAGCCAACAATACTTTATTTTTATTTTTTCTCACATTTATGTGTGGAACTTGAAAGAGATTGAGTTTGATTCTTATATTTACACAATTTCAGCAATTGACCAGCATAAATGTCATCTTTTTTATTTTTCTAAACTCCAGATAGAAATAAGTTTATATCTTTCACAGACAACCTAGGAAGTCAAGGAAGGCCTCGTTCTCCACTTTTTTTTTTTTTTTTGAAAATAGGCTCATTTTACAACTCTCCTAGAGTTAACCAGTTGAGTTTTACCGGTTTTGAATGGATTAAGCTGATAGCTTAGCTTATCTTAGCTTAGCATAATCAAATTATTGCTAGCAAATTATGCTACCAACACTGTATTTTAATGGTTCTGAGGTTGGGGATAGGGATTAGGTAAGTTAGGGCGATATTACAGCTTTAGATCACACTACTCCACATTAAAATTTACACTGTTAGCTAAGTCTGATGGGTACCATATTGTGTCATCAAAATATTCGACCTACTTTTTGAATGGGAGGTAGGACAATCTGACCGGGCAGCCACTGTGATGGTATACTACATGAAGTTGGGGACCCGGGGGTGTTACAGACTGTAGCAAAAACCCAGTTAAGGACCGGGGACAGGTTGAAATTACAGGAGTTTTCCCGGAGAACTAACAAAACTAGAGGGTGTTTGGAGATGGGTCTAAAATACAGGAGACTCCCGGGAAAAACAGAAGTGTTTGCATTAGCATGAAGCATTAGCACTCTTCTGAAGTTACATCATAGACTAGGACTAGGAAAATGAAAAGTTGATATTTTTAGGCCGACATGGTTAGAAACTATATTCTGGTGTAGTAATCAAGGAACTCTGCAGCTGTGACATGGCTATAGCTGGCGCAATTACTCTTTGGTAATTTTTGTGCAAGTGCTAGTGGTCTAATCAGATTCAGTGATCTATGCTAAGCTTAGCTGTGCTAAAAGTGCTCCTTTCAGACCTGGAGATCGACTGAATGGATTAAGAAATGATAAAACTCAACAGTTTACCTCTATGGTAGTTGTAAGAAGTTGTGAAAAGTAATTGGTACATTAAAAATAAAAAATAAAAATCCCCTTTAAGCTTAACAAAGATTTAACAAAAATTAAGACTTGACTTCAAAAAGTGGAATGAAAAGTATTTTGTGATCACATATGCAAGCCTGACCATGATATTTAGGTATTTGTGAGAAAGCAAGAGTATGTAAATTGTCTCTGTGCTGCTGCAGACGGTAGCGCGGCGAGAACGGCGGCACCGTGATGCCCCGGTGGTGACGGCCACCAATGGGGAGAGAAAGAGCCAGGTTTGTGCTCGCGATTTCAACCGGTCACATAAAAGCATGCACAACATTGGTTCACCCTAGTAACCACCTACACGAAGGCTACTGTTATTGCTATAATGCAATTTATAAAATTGGATCTTCACTAAACTCCACCCCCTCTGATTCATAGCAAGTCTCATTACTACAGTCTTTATCAATATGTTAATGAGGTATGTTATTAAGTTATTAGTTTGAATGGTCCTTTGGTAAAGTTTAGAACCTTATAATGCGGATACTTTAAAGTAAATAACATTCAGTAAGCAAGTAGATAAATAAAAAAATATTATTGATTTGGTGTTGGGAATACAGGCTCAGACAAGTATATGCAATTACGTGGACATGAAAAATAAGCTTGAGAAGATACAAATCACTAACAATCTAGCACGATGAACACTTTAATGGTATTATGTAACAATATAGGTTACTATTAATATTGAGGTCTTTGGATTTCATTTCACAATCAATGCAGTCGATAATCTATTTTAAAGTGCAGAATTAATACTTTTAAATTAAATAAGAGAGAGAATATTTGTGATTCGATGCAAGTGAAAGAATCATGCATCTCAGAAAAATGTAATAATTTGAGATATGTACAATTTTACTGAGATTTACTTTAGGTTTTTATTTTTGTTTGTTTTAAAAAATAAAATAATTTGACGGTAATTCAGCAAACAGCAGCAGTCAATAAAGTTAATGTGGAGCTTAGTGAAGGATCAATTACAAGCAAATCAGCAGATGCTTGACTTAAAATATATATTAGTGCATGCTTACAATTTAATATTAATATACTGTTAGCATAAATGAACATCTTACGAAAAATTACAGCTCTCATGAATCTTATTTTCATGAGTATCAATGAGATATTTTGTTTCATAGACACTTACATGCTCTCTTCCTTCCCCTCGGGGGTTTGTACAGTCGCCACGGGTGGACACAGAGATGGTGCGCATGAGGAAGGTCAGAGCTTGTTCCGTACGATTTTCACAGCATGAGGAAGATGCCATTGTACTCATCATCTCCTCACTGTCCATGAAAAAAAAAAAAGAAAAGAAAATCATTTTATTATTTTCTCTCATCTGCTTTGGCTGTATCTTGCTTGCACTTGTATGAGTTTGCCTGTTCCAGACAGCACTGAAGCTGTATGCACCTTAATGAGTCAGCACAAACTGTTCGGAATGAGAAATATGTTGACCATGTCTCGTTCACCTTTTGAGGGGAGAAATACATATGAACCTATGGCATTTGCATTGTTAACATGTCATTGCTGTCTTTTTCGCAGCAGAGCAAAACAGTGTTCAACTGCTGTAAACCTGGAGTTTAAAACCAGCTAAGATTTTGACATTCAAAATTCTGCTTTCAATTCTTTAAAGGTGGAAATCATTTTGAGTCATTATATTTAGGAAGATTTAAGAAAGTAAGATCTACTTACAAAATCATGCTGATAAGGCATAACATACTGTAAATATAAAACAAAAATAATAAGATGTTTGCCATTTTTACACACTTCCAGTCAGAGTTTTGGACATACCTGTATTCCTGAAGAAAAAAAAAAATCACTTGAATGAACCCACAAGAATATATTAAAAAAGAGAAAGCCTCTAAGCACTGAATCCTGATGTACCCCAAGTGTTATTTAATACCACAAGATCGCTCAAGAATCTACCTGCAAATCAGGATTTAATGCCAATTTCAGACTCCATGATTTTAGCCCCTTTTTTTGACTCGCTGATAGGTTTTGAGAACTTGCAGACAAATACCTGAAATCACTTGCAAATTGGTCACACAGTTTAAACAATCAAAGACACGATCTGAGAGAATTATCGATGAGTTGTCGACGCCCATGAGATATTCGGCATGCAAAATATCTGGAGCTGTCTGCGATTAAAAATCATGCCATGTGAAATGTGTTCTGACTAAAATAACATCCACTTACAGCCAATGAGAGAGCGGCATCAACTTGTATGGGTATCTGCAGGCCAGCGGGAGGTTGGGTGAGAATTTAAAAGTGCTTATTTTCAGTCTTTTTGGACCCAAGAAAAGGAGGATAAACTAGTGGAAATTTGTTAGGAGCACCTGTGTTTGTTTGAACAATACCACAACCGGGTCAAAAAAGAAAAAAAGTCTAATGCTGCGTTCACACCAGATGCGGAACACACGTCAAGCGTGAGTGATTTACATGTTAATTAGGCGCGAATTGAGCTTTGTGCGCGTTTTGCGTGAATCGCTCAAGTTCGAAAATCTGAACTTCAGCGGACATTCGTTCTGCATTAACCAATCAGGAGCTTGCTCTTGTGGGAGCGTGATTTTGACGTATCGCCTGTTTTCGGTGTCCCAGGGGAAATCCTCCAGCCGACACCGACAAGAAGTTCATCAAACTGGGCTGGGCTAAGTCAGAAGCACCGCTGAAAGCCTCTGTCAGCCAGGTTAAGTTTCTGGAAGACTTTATGAGCTTAAATAGCTGGATGTACCTCTGAAAGCATGTAGTGGACTCAGACACGGCCTTAAAAGTATCAACGCCTTTTTTTCAGACTTCATAAAGCACATAAACACTGTTTTTTTCTTCATAAAATCCATGTTAGCCATTTAGCTACGAAGCTAGAGTCACCGGGCAGACAGAAGTCCTGCTCATCACGCGAATCCATGTCTGTTCTGAAGTGAATTTGACACGCGAATGAAGCGGGGTTTGACGCGTGAATGAAGCGAGTAACCTCAAATGTTCACGTGGCTATTTACGCACCAACATCGCGATTTATCCGCGTTCCGCGTCTGGTGTGAACACAGCATAAGAGAAATTGTTAATTCCCTTCAAAGCCAGGTGAGCAAAAAATGTTAATTTTCTACCCCACTAAAGGCCTTTTTTTTTCATTATTTAGTTAATAACAAAAAATATACAATGTGACCTCACATTGTTTTTATGTCACTTCTTGTGTGTGTTTGGTTGTGAGACGTAGTTTGCAGACCAAGACAAAGTTGTTGGCGACTCTTCCTATTACAAACTCATGCAGTGTGAAACCCCCTGCCACCGATTCATTTTTCAGTGTAAACAAAGCAGTGATGAAACGCTACACCAGATGTTAATACATTGTGAAAAAATCTGTGACACGACTATTTTGAAAATCGTGCAGTCTGAACTCTGCATAAAAGTGGAAAGTAATACAATTAATTAGGGATGTAACGGTATTGTAAATACCGTCATACCGCAATATTAATTTTTTCCGATATTACCGAAGTCGCATGACTCGGTAAAACTGTAGGTCTTCTGAGAAAATTTGCTCAGCCGAATGAAGCGAACGGGAGGTACTGAAAACTACAATTCCCATCAGCCCATGCTTGACCATCATCCCTTGCGGTCTGTTGTCGCTACAGATCCAGTAATGCGGAAATGGAGTGTGCTGCTAGAAGCGGGGATGTAAAAGAGCTGGAAAACTCTAAAGCAGGTGTTGTCGCCGCGCGCGTACTGAATAGCGGTGTTGTCGCGCGAGTTCTTATCAGCTGTGTTGTCGCGCGCGTACTGAATAGCGGTGTTGTCAGCACACTGTTCAGATTGATGCAGACATGAGACCTCTATCTTACTCATGGTTTGTCCTCTCAAGTGGGGGAAAGACAATGCACAACGTTACCCACTGCTGTCAAGCCAAGTCATATCTCTCTTGTCCCAGAAACCTCAGTCCCAAATGAGAGGTTTTTTTTTCTGTTGCAGTGGACATTGTAAATACCCAGAGATACCAGCTTTTACCAGATTATATTTATATAATAATTTTCCTTTAAACCCATCTCTAACTAAGTGAGTGAGTGATTAAATGTTGAATGTGATGAGTTTTCAACAATACTAAATTAAAACTTTATTTTTTTACATGGTTTAATATTTTTTTGTTATTAAAATTGAAGTTCCTGTTTCAAAGCTTACAGATAGATGGCTAATTTGTATGTCATTGACAATTTTGGCACTTTTTTGGAGTATTTTCATAAGTTTTGTTTTTTCCTGTAAATGATTCAATAAATACCGTACCGTGACATTCATACCGAGGTATTACCGTACCGTGAAATTCTGATACCGTTACATCCCTACAATTAATACAATATAAAGATGCTTCTCCTTCAATAATTTTTGGTGAATTGGCCAGGAAGAGTTGATGTCATCAGGCGGTACCCAATAATCATTGGGTGTTTCAACCCCAAACCGCAACACCCTCAACATTGGTCAGTCAGCAGTGGTGGCCAAATCACTGCCCATCAACTCCCCCTGGCTTCTAGCTAAGCTCCTCTCTCCTGCTCCATAACCAGCAATAATCTCTCCCTGCTGCCTCACCCTTCCTGCGAACAGTTATCGTTCTCTCCCTCCCCATCACCCCAATGGCTGTAAGTATCCTCATACTGAGTGTGCAGGGAATCCTCAGCAGTCGACCTTGACTAGACCAACCTTTCTCCCTGCAGTCATTCAAAAGGTCCTGGTAGTTGGCACTCTTCCTCTCAAACGCTTGTTTACAACCCTCTTCCCAAGAGACTGTAAGTTCGATGAGAATGATCTTCTTTGCCTCTTCAGACCACAGTACTGCATCTGGCCTTAGGGTTGTCTGGACAACCGGGGGGAATTGCAGTCTTTCCCTCAGGTCTACCTTCATTTCCCATGATTGGGCCTTTTGCAGCAGATTGGTTCTTGTTGTTGCTGTGGTTGGTGGCTTTTGACCCGCTCTTACAAACTTGATTGATGGTGTTGCTCTCTCATGTGGTTGGTGTTTCTTGCGTCTCTCTTGCTCCAGGTTGTTAGCGATTGTCATGAGCACCTTAATGTGATTTCCAAGTTGAGATAGAAAAGAGAAGGGATCTGACTAGGTTAAAGACTGCAGATAAGTCCAACAGAATCAGCAGGGATTATCTTGAAGTTGTTCTAGCCACCCACAAGAATACAGTCTGTTTATCAAGTCAAGTCAAAGGGTTTTTAGTATGAATGGAAGAAGAGAGATTTTTCTGATGGTGGTCTGGTATTTACTGGTAATTTGAGCCTTCTTGAATGCAGTGTTAAAAGTCCCAGTTCATAGTGATTTATTATTGTGATGGATATGAGCATTGCTTAAAGTGTAGGAGATGTGCTGTGTGAAAGTCAAGATAGAAGGGAATAGAATCAATGGGGCAGGTGGTTGGATGGTTACAGAGGAGAAGTTTAGAGACCTCTGCCTCCATACAAGGGTAGTAGAGCTTTGTGTCAGTCGTGGGTGTAATTTTGAGAGAATTGGCTGTTTTATGCTTTACTTTATCTGTGAAAAATTGGCAAAGTTGTCACTGTCAGCCATTAGGAAGTTTGTAGGAGGGAGAGGTGAATGCCTCTTCGGTTTGTGTGCTTGATGTACTGTTATCTTGTGTAGCTGGATGCTTTTGCAGTGGCAACATTGGCAGAAAAAGAAGTAAAAAAAGCACCTGGGTCTCTTTTACAAACATGCATAGGGTCTCTAAGGGTGTACTCTCACTTGACAGCACATGCAGTGTGTCATTTTCAGTTGAAATCTCATTATATATATTCATATATATCATCATATGTATTTCATTATATATCAAATATCTTATATACAGTAGGCCTAAATACAGTACTGTGATTAGGTTTGTTATACTAAGAACCTACCCTAGATAAATCTGTAACATCAGTGCTTCCCACACATTTACTTGGGCAGGCCGCCTGGGTATATTAATGGACGCCCTACTATAGTGACACGTTTTTTAACTATTATTATCATCCTTTTACACTATTTTGTATCCACCTAATATAACCAAACATCCGTCATCGATTAAGTAGTGGAAAATCCTCTCTCCTTTGCCCGTTTCGTTCTGTGGGCGGAAGACCTGTCAACACTCCCAGACAGTCTCGCATGCTCTGCAGACACACAGAGACGCTCCTTTTTGGCACTTTCAAAAATCATCCAGCTGGGGTTTCTAAATCTCCTAAAATGTCCGGGATTCAGCTTTTGCTTTCTTAATCTGTGATTAATCATATGCATTTTTGCATTACCTTTTTACTTAAGCCTACTTTCGCTTGGCTTTACAGTTGACTGTGCACACAGTCGCAAGAGTGAGAGAAACATTCAATAATTCATTCTTAAATCTAAACGACTCAGAAAAACACAGAGAGAACAAAATGACTGGTCTAAACTGGCTGCAAAATATATGTACACCATTAGTTAATCAACGCATTTGCCTTATTAAAGTAATCTTCATGTTTTAATATTGTAATTATTATAATTTTGAGATATTGCCTGTTTTTATTTCTTTTTCTGTCTTTTCTCATTTGCTGTATATTTTATTAATTTGATGATACCATTAAGGCCCGGGCACACCAGAACGCTTTTTGCTCACATTTTCGGTTTACATTTAACGCTTCGTGACTAAATAAAGGGCGTCAATGTGATCGTGCACACTAATGCGCAAAATGGCAGGCGCAAAAGCGTCATTTTTAAAGAAAAATGCTCATGCTTGTTTTTTTGTTTTGACGCGCCACGTCAAAACCTTCTCCTCCAATCAGATTGCCACTTTTGTTCACGTGTACAGAGCTGCTGAAGTTACAGTAAACAGCACTTGGAGGCGCTCAAGCGCTAAACTATTAATGCGAGTGCACACTGAAGAAGGTGCCTAGAGCCGGTATGAACATGGAGCTGCTTATTGCTCTGTGAACAGTATTCATTTCTTCATCGCTAAAGCTGGAGCTACTACTTGAACCATCTATGCTTGTTTAAGTCACCAGTAACATAGAAGCTCTTTGCTAGTAACTTTAACAACAAGCATGTGAACATCCTCTCTTCCTCTTCTTCTGTGTTACAAGTGGGTGTTAGAAGCTTAAAGTTGTGTAGCGCCATCTAACATCAAGAAGTGATTTTGCATACTCTTCTGCTTGACGCCAGTGAAAATTGCTTGGGGCTGAATTCGGAAAAACATCTCTTAAAACGCTGATGATAAACGAAAATGAAAAGCGTCCTGGCATGTATGAGCCTTTAGACCAGGCCCGGCCCTAACCAGTTTGGCGCCCTAGGCAAGATTTCAGGTGGCGCCCCGTCACATCGCAGTAAATTCACTGCTAGTGTATAGTCATAAGAAACTAAGTAGCTTTTTGATCGACTACTACAAGCTAGGAAAATGTCAAATAAATATGCCAACGCAATTAACGTTATTGCTGAATGGATCTAATATTTACACATTTGCTTGAGGAAGTAATGATGTAGGTAGTTACATTACTATTACTATTTTCCAAAACATCTATGCCCTATGTCTTTCGTTGTGTTCTGTTTGATAACATAGGTGTTAATGTAAGAATGCACCGATCCATATGAATGAATGAATGAAGCATTTGACTACTTTAGTAACTGTTTGTGCTCATTTAAGAGAAAATTAGTTTTGTTTAAAATAAATCATGCAAAAAAAAAAACAGAGCAAAAAACAGAGAAAAAAAAAAAAAAGCACTTTTCCGACGGCCCCTTACTGAGAGCTATACTCCGCGCGAGCTCTCCCAGCTAAACGGAGCAGTGCTCGTAATGTCGAGCGAAAAAAAGAAAAAGACAGCTGTGAAACATAAGCAGCCTGTCTTTTTGTAGGAAACACACTTTAGATCTTTTTTAGGGTAAGAGGTTTTTGAGTTATTGCTGTATATCACTGAATGTGTCAGGAATATCAAAAACAAAACCAACTTAATTCATTTCTGGCGCCCCCTTGGATGTACAGCGCCCTTAGCATTTGCCTATACTGCCTATGCCACGGGCCGGCTCTGCTTTAGACTATATTACATAAGCTATTTTATATACATATCTAAAATGCTTTGGCATTTAAGTTTGCCTTAAACTAGATTTTACTTGTCAGTAAGTGCGCATTGCTCCTGAATAGCATAAAAGTATCAGAAATATGGATTTTTTTCTTTTTTAAACTTTAACCCATTGAAGAGAAACAGTGCATGACAGTGTCGTCATAGATAAAATCATTATGTTTTGTTTGTCGCATATAGTTAACTGTTTATGTGATGTAGGTCAATGGTGTGTTTCAATCTGGCTACCACCACAGGTATATTTCAAATCTATGGGAAGCACTGAACATACTATATAAATTTCATGTTTCTAAGACCAACACTTGTCGTGTGTGTCTTGAGTTCTAAATTATATCCTAATCATTTATAAATTACGCTGTCTGTGTAAAAGCTTTCACACAAAAATGAATGGACTATGCACTGTTTGTGAATGTGACCCTCTGACCTTTTTATTTTTCTGCCATGAATTGCAAACTGGGCTAAGAGTGCAGGGATATATCTACAATATATGATATAGAGAGGTTGTTAAGGGGGATTGTAAATTTTCATTCCATTATTTTATTTAATTCTATTATTATGAAAATATATTTTTTCTGGTGTGAAAATATATATATATATATATATATATATATATATATATATATATATATATATATATATATACATATATATATATATTTATATTAAATGCTTTTTGTATAAATGTACGTGTTTTTTAATTATATGTTTGTTAAAAAATATGAACCTTTAAAATGCTTGCAGTTTAAGATTTTAAGAAAAAGGAATTGTCATGTGTGTCCAAAACTTTGACTAGCAGTGTGCTTACACAATTATTATGCTTATTTCAGTGTTCCTCAACCTTGTTCCTGGAGGATCACCAGCTCTGCACATTTCCATTGCTGCGTCCCAATTCACATACTTATACTACACCCTAAAAGTATGTACTTTTTTGTGAAGGAAAAGTATATACTTTTGAGTATGTAACAGAAGAGTATGCAAGCTATAAGAAATACTACTTCCACGTTAACAAATTGTTACGTTGCTTAGTTACGTCCCCTGTCAATCATCTCAACACATCATTCACATTTCTTTCATATTTAATTAACTACCTCATTGAAGAAGCAGCAGCAGGAAAATCTGCCATTTGTGAGTCTTTCATGCAGGGGCATCTCCTCAGGTATTTGGCTGGTAATGCATTCAGACGATAATGTCCAAACAAATCTTAATTTAAGTTCACATTGTTGTTGCAGATGAAATATAACATGGAAAACAGGGTTTAAATATGGTCCAGTTGGCTAGATTATCAGTCATTTAAACAACTTTACCGAAGCCTCTCTAATTGACAGTTGGTGTCTAATGTCCTCCATTTTTGTAGTTTGTTTACACTTTTTATCTGAGTTTGGACGTGCAAATTCACATCCAATGTGCTATGTATTGTGGGCTATATTATCTTTTAGAGCAGTGGTTCTCAAACTGTGGTACGTGTACCACTAGTGGTACGCAGGCTTCCTTCTAGTGGTACACGGAGGAATGAAATATGTCTTGTACATGCTTTACACATTTCAAAGTTAACCAAAAATGATGTATATAATATGCCATATATGACATATAGCCTTAGCCATATATAGCTGCTTTACTGAGCCTACTACGCTACTGTATTTCAATACTACTCATTTTGGTGGTACTTGGAGAGACAAATTTTTTCTAAGGTGGTACTTGATGAAAAAAGTTTGAGAACCACTGGTTTAGAGTATGGGCGCTTCTACTCTTGAATTGTTAACCATCCTGGAGCCTTTGGCATACTCTTTTTTTACATACTATGCTTTGGGACATACTGATTATATTTTCGAATACTATTTAGATTGATAGTATGTGAATTGGGACGCAGCACATGTCTCTTTAACTAAGCACACCTGATTCAGATCAACAACTCATTAGCAGAGACTGAAAGACATGTAATGGGTGTGACGGACAAAGGAGACATCCAAAACATGTAGTGTTGGTGGTCCTCCAGGAACATTGTTGAGAAACATTACGTTATTCTATATGCTTTGGTATTCATATATTATTATTGTTTATTTAGTTTTATAGTTTACATCGGTTGATTCATGGTTGCTTGGTTATGTTGGTCAGGATGCTCAAACAAATGGATCAGTGTTTAATAACACCTGTGGATTACCCATGCTGCAAGGAAAAACTGATTTCATTACACTTTCATAACTTTACCCATCGCACAATTATCCCTGACCTCTCAGTCACCTCTGACCTTCGACCTCTGCCCTCTGTCTAGCTGCGGCTGTTGTTGTTCATCCATATTTGAGTTGTCCTCATCCCTCCACTTCCCTACACAAAGAATGCAACCGAAGATCAAACCTTAAAAATAAGCCAAGAAACATTTCACAACTTTATCTACATTCAAACACTGCCAACTCCTTTTTGTCCTCTGTTCTTCACAGAAAAGAGCAAAGAAAATTGAGGGCGAAACTATTTATATCAGACATAGCAATTTAATGTTGGAGGTTTGTATGGAAACTTTGGAAATGTCTTGTTTTTTTGCTGCCGCACGTCTCACTGCATGAGATTCTGTTTCATCTTGTTTCTTTCTTCATTCTTCTCACCACGCACTCTTTTTTTTGTGTTTTGTTTTGTAGCTTAACCCTAAAGGCTTGGCATGCACTATTTACCTCACTAACTGTAATGCAAGTACTCACTTCTATTTATCATTTGCTTCTATAGCACGGTTTATTTAAATATATGATTGGGATTTTTATTTTATTTTATTTTTGGTTCATACAAAATCAATTCAATCCAAAAATACGGTAGTGTAAGTAGTTGGATTGGATTTTGTTGGCTTTTTTTAAGTATTATTTTATTGAAGCACTGGCACATTTATAGCATGTTAGGCTCTTAGCATGAATGCTTTAATTTACTTTTTTAACAGTATACTCTATGGCTAACAGTATACTCTATGGCTACTCTTTTCTAAGATTTCTAATGGGCTTTTTACACTTATTTATTATTGTTAGAGTTATGTGGCTCTTATTTATTTGGTCATACTTTATCCATGATTATTAAATGGAAGAATGGTCACTATTAGCCTTGGTTGGCCTGCAAATTGACATCATGTTAAACAGATCAGTACTATTGATTGGACCACTGCAGGACTGTCAGAAGACTTAACACATTCATCTGCTTGTACTTAAAAAAGGAATAATACTGTCTCTTATATCTAGATAACCTGTTTTCTTTGTAGTATCTCTCAGTCACTGAAATTATTTACAGTTTAATATAGGTTTAAAAATAGTTGTTGACCCAGGGGTGTACGATATTCCAAAAATTATATCTCAGAATATTTGGAGATTTTTTCCATATGATATTTAAACTAGAGTGCTTTTGGCCTGTGACAAATAACTACGTTACACTAAAACCCATCATAGGGCTTAATGAGTGATTTACTCAAAATGAAGCTAGTGTTAAAATGGATCAGTCAGGCAAAAATGTTCCGCACCGGCTTTATGTACTTAATTTTGTCTGCAAATCTGACGAAAAACAATAACACTTGACCTGGTTAATATTAATTTGTAGTGCCATAATGGGCCCTATCATACACTAGGTGCAATGTAGTGCCAGGTGCGAAGCAAGCATTTTTTAGTTTTAAAAAAAAAATAATAATAATTTTTACATTTTTAAAATTTTTTTAAGATATAATATAATTTTTAGAGATGTAATAAGATATAATTTAAGATAAAGATATAATAGGTCCAGAACCTGCATGCACATTACTTATGACATACACGGGGATGCACAGCAGCACACAAATATCTTTCAAATACAAAAAAAAAAAACTATATTAGTTTTTAAGTTTTATGTTATTCTGTTTGAGGTCAAAAAGACTTTCAAAAATAATGAGTAGTGGTATATTGCTTTTTGAACACTGCAACTCCTCGCTCTCGGCAGTTTATCTTTTCAAGTTTCTTTTTGTCCTCAAATTAAGAATTAAATAGGACTTTGCTGGAAGTGTACTGGTCCTTACACTCACATGTGCTTAGATTATTAAAGTAGACTCCAAAAACTAGTTTGTTGTATCTTTATAATTATTTATAAAACTATTCATGTGTGATAGTATTTAACAAATGTACATCATCTTATGAAAACAAAAACCTATGCAATCATACTTTTTGCGTAAATAAGTTGTTAGCTAATATTGACTATAAATGTCGCACACCCCTGGGCTAAACACAGTGTGACAAGCCCATATATTGTGCATACTCAAATCTGCTGATTTACTATATTTATTTATATTCATTGGCTGTACATTTAGATATTAATGCATGTTTTTACCAATATATTTGTTATAATATCACATGATTATGATATTATGGATTTACAGTGTTACATGTAATACAGATTGTGCAGCCTGTCCCAGTCATATATTTACATTATTACTATAAAGACTGTTTCCACTGTTGTCACTGTTGTTTTTGTAAAATCTGATGAGTCTTAAATGGATTCTGTGACAATAACCTCTTCATCCACCCATGACCTCTTCTTTAACCCTGTGACCTCTGTATCTTGATCAACATATTGTCTCCATCACATATACCGTTCTTATGTATAGTGTTTAAGATTGCTGTTTGAGCTAAGCAATGTTCCATGTTATGCTATTGTTGATTAACAGACATGTGTCAAATATCTAATTATGATGTCATGAGATTAATTTAGTAGATTAGATGTAGACAAAATAGACTAGTTTGTTGTACAGTATGTTTATGAATCAGAACTATGTCATTTGACTCATGTCTGAAGCTTTGTTCACACTGGAGCTTAAATAGTTTATTTAATCTTGTGAAATGCTCACATGAATACCACCCCAGCTACCTCCTCTTCTTAAAAAATAGATTTAAGAACAGAATAACTTTGCAGCATATGCAGTGAATTATAATATACCTTACAGTATATTAGATATCAACAGATAGATGCACAGTGCCCAGCATAAATGAGTACACCATAACAAATTTCTCAGAAAAATCTCCAATCTCGCCTTAAATTATTTCTTTCTTTCACTGTGTCCTAACACACATGATGTGAAAAGATTAAAGAAACAAGCAATTTGCCGCACCAGAAGTGATACTATAGAATTGTTTAAATATCAGCCCTTCAGAAGCGCTAAATAATACAACGCAATCCCAATGAAATGAACTGGTTTATAATCTAATTCATATATAGCAAAACTCTTTAGCTTTATTAAAAGTACATGTTGAGTATTATTGGTTTGCACAGTTCTAATGTTTAAGTTTAAATTGTATGTTAGCGATTTTATTTTCAAAATCGGAGGTAAACTGTCTGCTGCTGCATTCAGTACGGCAATAAATGTCTATGCAAACTCATACTGGTAACATGTATCACTAAGTAGAGCACAGTAAAAGTGTAATTCTTTAAATGATTTGAATATAGCTAGGGCTATTTTATCTAGATCAAATATGACACTATTGTGTTGAACCTACAAATGTAGACAAAATGTAATTTGTAAAGTTTTATGTCTTTCTGTTGTAGTCATATTTAAATACAAATATGTGTTCACTATCTCCAAAATAAATAAAGAAAGAAAGAAAACCAGCTGCTCGCGGCATCGACGTAGCTGTGAAGCGAGCGCTTTTTCGCCTGGTCTCTCAGACCCTTGCTTTTAAATTCGCACGTTTCATGCACAAACACATCTTTTAAATGTGACAAAAACTCAACAACTGAAAGTTACTGGCTGCTGTGTCTTTAATGTGGTGTAAAAATGATGATGCATTATTGAAACAACAAGGAGGACACAGCAAAGAAATATCTTATTAAATGAAAACTACTTTTTTATTTTATGCAACACCTTTAAATTGAACAGAGAAACATACAACAATCTTAAGCACAAATAAGAACCTTAGCCTATAGAGTGTTTTATTGAATAAACTAAACAGTAGCTGTGTTTTTTTTTTCCTTATATATTTTATAACGATGGAACTTGCTACCTTAGTTGGCTAATAATGATTTTCGGATACGCACCCCTGGGTGGGTTGTTCGATTTGGGGGGCGTTTGCTCACACAGGCCCGTTAATGGAAAAATGTTTTTTCCTTGCGACACCTGCACGAATCACAGCATTACACATGAAGAAATTTTCAGTGGCCACATCTGTATCAGCACCTGATCGAAGTCATAGTAGTTTATGCTGTTGTTTCAGCTGCAACACCACAGACATGGAAACCATTTGTAAAATAGAACCAAACTTTTAGTTTAAAGAATATAGTTGTAAAAATGCATCAATATATTTTGTCCTAAAGGCTCGTACACACCGAGACGCTTTTTGTTTGCGATTATCATCAGCGTTTTACAAGATGTTTTTTCCGGATTCATACCCAAGCAATTTTAACTGGCATCTAGCAGAAGAGTATGCAAAATCACTCCTTGACGTTAGATGGCGCTACACAACTTTAAGCTTCTGACACCCGCTTGTAACACAGAAGAAGAAGACAAGTTGACACGCTTGTTATGGATAGTTCAAGTAGCTGCTCCAGCTCTAGCGGTGAAGAAATGATTATTGTTCACCAGAGCAACAAGCAGCTCCACATTCATATTGGCACTGGGCATCTTCTTCAGTGTGCGCTAGCATTGACATTTTGCGCTTGCGCGCCTCCAAGCGCTGTTTACTGTAACTTCAGCAGCTTTGTGCACGTGAACAAAAGTGGCAATCGGATTGGTGGAGAAGGTTTTGACGCGGCACATCAAAAAAAAAAAAAAAAAACAAGCATGAGGTGTTTTTCAAAAATGACACTTTTGCCTCTGGCGTTTTGCGTGTTGGTGTGCTCGATCACATTGATGCCCTTTATTTAGTAACGAGGTGTTAAACGACGATGGAAAACGTGAGCAAAAAAAGTCTCATTGTGCACAGGCCTTTATTTACTGAGTAATGGAGAAAGCAATTATCTTCCAAAAGGGGTGTACTATTATATGCTGCGCACAGAATTTATTCAAATGTTCTTGTTTATTGTTCATGCAAAAAAAGCATAATTGATGTACTATAGCTATTATTTAAACAAACTCATTGACGATTTTATCAGATATAACTTATAAAGGAAAATATCACAGACCCTGGACAAAGAACATTCTTTATTTAACTCTTATGTCAAATGCGTTTGTTGACATATTATATTTACATAAGGATGTTTAATTTCAATGTGTTCACAAGTGTTTCCATCAAAAACACTTTAAATGGATCCCTGAAACACTTACAGTAATTTAAAATATTGTCTAGGTGTAGCTCTTTAGATTTCAACATAAAGTTGCAGTTTCTTTTAAATATATAACAGTGTTTATCAGTTTAACTAATTAATTTAAAACTACAAAATATAACACATTTTAATGCACATACTGTAGCTTGTAATGTTACTATTTCTTATGGAGGAGAAAGTCAAACCTTTTGCCAATTAATTTTCGAGGCATCTGTCTGTCTGAAGTCAGGGAAAGTAGACTATGAAGGCTGGTTTCTCATGAGAGCATTTCATCCTTGCAGATGTTCTTGGGCACCGAGACACAAATCTGTTCCAAACTCTCACCTGTTTTCTGCAGTTATTTGAATAAAGATCAGCTGAGATTAAAGGTCTGTCTGTCTCTCGATCTCATTAATCACAATCTGTCTGTACGCTCGAGCACCGTTTGTTTTTTGGGAATCACAAAGCGTTCTCTATGACATGAATATTCATAGTGTCATACTGTCTAAGCATAGCTGATTACCCGATGCTCCTGAGATAGATGATGGCAGACAAATCAGACCATGGATGATGCAAAAGAGGAGATAATGCAGTTAGAAGACAGTGAAAGTTGAAAAGAGATATGTGTCTTGGTGGGCTATGGCTGATCTGCATATGTACTTAGTTGATGTGACTAGGGATGGGAATCATAATGTAATGATTTTGGTTCTCAATGATTTAAATAACTATGTAAATATATGTAAAATATAAAATCATTCTGTGAATCATGCATATTGAGTTTAAACCAATATTAAACTGGTGATGTAATGATTCAAAAACTATTTTGAAGCATCACTTACAAATCCTACCAATGCATATGCATTCATTTAGTAAGCTTTTGGTTTTGGTCAATAATGTGAATAAATAATCATTCAGTAAATATTTATTTAGTATTCTAAGTTTTAAAGGGTTAGTTCACCCAAAAATGAAAATTATTAAGTACTCGCCCTCATGTTATTCCACCCATGTCTTCCATATCAGGTCAGGGTGCATGTTTTCTATGGGCAATATGATGTGTGCGTGTTGTAAATCTAATGGCAAATACATTGTAGTGCGCATATAAACATGAATCCTGAACTGATGTGATTAAGAAGATATTGCCTAATTAATCTTTTTTTTTTTTTTTTGGTACCTGTTCTTGGATCTTTGTATGATTTCAGTTCACAGAATCACAGAAGTTACATGAAATGTTCCAACAAAGTTGTTTCTTACTTTTCTGAACTTTAAACAACTCTGAAACATTGCTGACATTGCTGACTATATGGTGTCAGAGAGCTCTCGCATTTCATCTAAAATATATTCATTTGTATTCTAAAGATAAACAAAGGTATATGGGGATTGGAACAACATGAAGGTGAGTAATTAATAACAGAATTTTCATTTTGGTTCAACTAACCCTTTAAATTGCACTAAAAATTGAACAAAAACTGAAATAAATAAAATGAATTATCATTGTTAATCTGTCTGAATTGTTATTTATTTTCAAAAATCACAGTAAATTAAATCACATTCAATCTCAATTAATAATTCTATATTTGCAAAAAATGTGATCAAATTGATTAATCTATCGAAATGTTCATGTTTAAGTTCATGTTGTTGCATGCGATAAGCAACAGCAATAAAAATGTGTTGCAATTTTTTGTAATTTCTTTCAGAATACAAACTAACAACCAAGACCAAATAAAATCTATGAACATTCAACAATCATTAAAAGAACTGAACATCTTAGGATTTTCCAGCTCTATTGCATTTTGTTTAATTAACTTGATTCCCAACCCTAGATTTAATATAGTGATTCATGTTTGATAATCAAACTAATGATATGTCTTCATTGGGCTTTCTCTTAATCTCTTCATCTGTCCTTCACCTTCCTGTTTTTATCCCAATTTTGCTATCGGCTTCCAAAATTTTCCTCCGCTTTCTTCTTGTCTTTTTTTTTTTTTTGACCGTCTTGGTATACTCTCTCTCCTCCTGGATCTCTCTTTCACTCTCAGGACGTGGATAAGACACAGACAGAAATCATGCGTCATCACACCAGTATCAGTGAGCTCAAGCGAAGCTTCATGGAGTCGGTGCCTGAACCACGGCCCAGTGAGTGGGACAAGCGTCTGTCCACTCACTCGCCCTTCCGCACAGCCAGCATCAACGGCCAGATGCAGCCAGACGTGAGTACCAGAGTTGAAGTTCTAAATGTTGGATTTTAGTCTGTTTTGTATGTACTTCGCTCGAAGAAATAGACTGAAAATTGCCTGGCTTGCGCAATAGATTCATGCTGATTTGCAGGCACAAGTGTGCTAAAAATTATGTTGTTGGCTAGATATAAGGATGACACTATAGACCATTTTGAGGGACGTAAACAATAACAATGGTCTGAATGTATTTCCTGTTTTACATTTTTAATTTCTATAGCTTCTGAGAATCCAGAAAGAGCCACATATTGATAAATAATGTTATGATAGCTGGTTTAACTGAGTTATGATTGAATTGCCTCTTGTTGCAGTTATGAAATAGTTGAGAAGGGTCTGGCTGCAGAGTAGAACTTCCATCTTCAGCATGCACTCTCGGGCTTGCACGCTCACCCACGCTTCCTATGCAAGTGACGTCATTTACAATCGACACCTGCACCTGTTCCCCCCCATGAAAAGCAGTTAGCATATTCATCATATGATTATATGCTGGATGTAAATTTACCAAAGCAGGCTACTATTAACATTCACACCAGCAAAGCTTATTATTTATATCAACTAAATTTTAGTATTCTTCCACAGTTATGAATAAAAAACACTAGACAAATTTGAATTTTAGTTTTTTGAAGTTGTGGTATTACATCTAACAGATACATATTATGGACTTACAGCAATGATTCTTGAACGACTTGGGAAACTATTCTTTATAACTATTCTTAATAAGTTAGCACGTCTGTGCAGGAGTGCATCCATATGAAATCACAGTTTATACATGATCCCAGCCCAGATTTATAGGTTCTCCAAACATAACGTTGAAATCGACTGGTTAAGGGAACGTCTCGACTCGCATAACAGAAAGAAAGCGGCACAGATGATGTGTAACATTACTGCAGAGCTGTTGTGAGCCATTTGTGATAGAGATCTGCGCAGGACAAAATTTTGAATCCTGCTACCGCCAGATTTTGGCCCAAACCCGACGGCTCCCTCTTTTATTCAACATTTGTTGTCCTGCTATCTGACCCGCCCCTGTTTTCTACGCGCCGTGCCTGTTCCCAGTAATGAGCGGGTGGAGAACAAAACCGAAAACCACCCAGCTATACAGAGTCCAGACAGCCTATAACAAGCTGTCTGTGTAAACACACACACACACAAACAGACATAAGCACCAAGCAAGTGACACACACACACACACATAGGCATCATCTCTCTCTTTACACACACACACACATACACAGCAACAAACAAGCTAAACACAGCATCACGCTCTCTCATTCAACACATAAGTACGCGTGCTCGCTCACTCGGGAGTCAGTAGCGATATTGTTAGACCGCCCGCTCCCGTCCAAAATTAAACCAGTTACCGACCGCTCCCGCCATTTATTCAGAAATGTATTCCGGTTCCACAGAAATCTGGTAGGGTCCTGCGGCTCCCGCGGTACAGCCGCGGGAATGCAAACCTCTAATTCGTGGTTCATTACGATCTGTTTACGTAACTATAACAACTGTGGCACCCGTCGCCGTATGTTGTCAGAAACCACAGTGAAATGCTTAGAAAAAAAGGCACTTGGGTAAGGGTGACAGATAAGCAACGATCTCAGTGAAATCCGTTACCTCAGAGATTTTTACACCTCAGGGACACGCTTAAGTTAAATTACCAAAGAACTTTCATGCAAGTGGACACAGGTGGCGATTATAAATTACGTCACTTGCAGAGGACGGTTGCCTGAGCGTGCAAGTCCGAGCGTGCAAGCCTGGAGGTGCAAGTGCAAATCTGCAGTCAGACTCTACTGAAATAGTTTGATAGCAAGCAGGAAATGCTTATGGGCCAATGACATCACCAAATTAAAATAGTCTATAAGCACTTTTGAGGTACTGTAGAAGTCTTTATAGGGTTTTGCGAAGTCTGGCTGCTTAAATGTTTTTTTGTTTTTTTTGCTTAGCTGCGTGTACACAAGATTTTTTTTTGTTATATCTGTTTCTGACTTTTTATCTTTTTTTTTGGATTAACAAAGGTTTTCAACCATTTTTTCACATAGTTTATTCATTTTGGAGACTGCTGCACCATTATTTGCATTTTCTTTATCATTTAAATTTACCTTCTATTGCTGTACTGTCATCTGATTCAGATATTTGTAAATAAATACCAAACAAATAAAAAATTGCACTTTATAGTTAAGCCCGTCTATCCCTGGTACAGTAAGTTTGTAATGTTTTACTTTTATGGAATAAAATGTTTGTTTAGTTGAATAAATGGAGGGTTAGATTTAAAATTAAAATTAAGTTAAAGGTGCCATAGAAAGCATCGATACAATATATGAAATTGCTCTACGATATCTACATAGAAAGTATGTGGCTTAGGTAAGTGCAAAAACTCTCCAGAAATGCTTTTACAAGTCAATTTTGAACCACAGGAATTACCCCTAATATGTTTTAGTCATGTGAAAATAATCATACTTCAGTTATCCAAAAATATTTGAACAAATAGTTCATTCCTTGTTAAATGACTGTAGCTTAACTGTTGTGATAGAGATGATTATTTTAGCTAGAATGAGTGAGTGAGCTATGTTCAAGCCACCATAGTGACCTAGTTTGCTCCTGAGTTGTGCTGTGTATGAAATATAGGCTAAATGATAAATTTACTTGACAAACGTACCAACAGAGATGTATTTAGAGTTTTATTTTGTGGGTTTAACACAGGGGTGTCCAGACTTGATCCTGGATGGCTGGTCTCCTGGAGAGTTTAGCTCTGACCCTAATCAAACAAAATAGATATACTAGAAACTTCCTTGCTAGCGTGTTGAAGCAAGTTGGGGCTAAACTCAGTAGGACAACGGGCATCTAGGACTTTGGACACCCTGGTTTAACATATCTGAAAACAGAAGCAATAAATAATATCCACCTCTGCATAAACAGAGTTTTATAAAGTTTATTGGTGTCCTTTCATTCCAGAAAAATAACGGTAAAAGCTGAGTTATATGACACAACATTAAACACTTGCATTCATTAAACACATTGTATTCATTACAAAGGTGCATAAAAAGATTATATACAGTACGTTTTTAACAGACCTTATGCCTCTTTGGGGTGGCATTGTAGAAATGTATATTTCTTATATCCTGCATTTTACGTCCGGATGAGTTATGAACACTCCTGCCTGCTTCACAAAACTGCTCCTTTACTCTTTAAAACCAATTTCAAAATATGCATAATAATAATCCCGTGTGGATGGTCACAGTCTTTGTTTTATTTAGATTTACCGATTGACATGAAAAGAAGGAAACGGTGGTGTTTGAGGCCTCACAGTATGTCATTTTTATGTACTGAATTATTATTATTCAGCTATGCCAATAACTATTACAACTTTCATCTGTGAAACCTTTAAAAATAAAATAAAAAACTACACTGAATTGCAGTCGACATTAGTTTATGTTGAAACAAAGGTCTACTGAAGACTAGCCATGTGTGTTGTAAGAGGCTCAAAATGTACTTGTAAAGTACGATGCAGTTGCTAGTCACTGTCTGTTTGATGTGACAGGCAGTAAAAAAATTCAGGAATTGATCTCTGGATCTAAATGCTTCTTCTGACAGCCTGTTAAAACCACTCTGAGTTATGGGAACCTCTCATGGGAGTCAAACTTCTTTTCTTCTATAGAACACAATTTCATTCAATTAGTCTCTGTGGGAAATGGTAGAAAGGTTGGGAAATACATTGATATGACCCATGCAGAATTCCAGTATTGCAAAGTCATGCAGTTAACAAAATAATTCTCCTTTTCTGTTACATAGAAGAAAGGAAGTCATGAAGGTTTAGAAAGTAACACAAAAAAGACCCATAGAATCAGAAGCTCAGGATTGGTCATATTTAGAACATTCAATCATTCATTCATTCTCCTTTGGCTTTATTTCTTTGTTATCAGGGGTCACCATAGTGGAATGAACTATTCCAGCATATGTTTTACGCAGCGGATGTCAAATCAATTTAAAGCTCTGTTGTCAGAAATGGGCTATGAACCCACACCTCCAGTTGGAGACCAGACATCTCATTATTTTGAGAAGGCTAGAACATCTTGAGTCTGGTGCCTTAGACCACTCGGCCATTCTGACAGACATATTTAGAACAGTTGTGAATATTAATGAGCTTTGCTATGATGCTCCACAGCTCAGTGTTCCTCTCTCTTACCTTCTCTCTTTCTCATACACACACAACATGATGTACTCTGAGATGCTACTACACATATAAAATAATCATACTTCATTTGTCAAAAATTATTTTAATGAACTGAGTATATGCCTTGTTAAATCTTTTTAACTAGCCACCATTTTGCTTACTCAACAAAAGGGACAGCCAGAGATATGTTCAGAGTTGTATTTAGAAATTGTAACATACATGAAACACCAGCCTGATCTCACGAGAAAACGTACTCTACGTTTTGTCAGTTTAGTGTCTAATTTGTACGAGTTTAGTCGTATAAAAATGTTTTAAAAAGGAGGCGTGGCATCCAACCCCGCCCCTAAAACCAACCATCATTGGATGATGTGCAAATCATACTTAATTGTATGAATTAGATCGTATAAATTCATACGAATTAGCCACTGAATTAAAAAGTTACGAATTGCTATGAGATTGCATTGAAAACACAGGCAGGAATTATTATCAACTTCTGCAAAAACATGCATTTTTTTAATGTTGACTGACATCCTTTATCTCGAGAAAATTACAGTAAGAGCTGAGTGATATGACATGATGCATAGATATGCATTGAACACTTATACTCAGCAGTTTACATGTGTTTGTTGCCTCATTACAAACATACAGGACTGGGCGGTATATCAAGTTCTGGGGATATATCGCTATAATTCCCCAACACTATGCAGTATTATCCAATACAGTCGGTTTTATCCTGTATTATCCGGTGTTGTATTGAAATCTGACTCCCGGATAAATCTGATTCCCCCTCTTGTGCACGCACGTCACACAG